CTCGCTGAAATGAAGGCAGCACACTCCTAAAATGAAAGATTAATTGTAGGCAACGGGGATATTGAAAAATAGCCCCCTCCTATTCTGTTCCCACAGTTAAAATGTCCCTTTACTTATTAGCGCCAATTAGTTTCCATGGTAACCGACCAGCCCTTATAAACCCCGCACTCTGAGCTTGGCTCATCTTTGTCTAGACCGCGCTCACCACCCTTCTTCCTCCACAGATGGCGGTTCCGCGGCGGGTAGATCTGTATCCCCATCTCCGCGTGCACATCGTGCCCACATGCACTTTATTACAGATACAATGCTTGGCCAATGGAGAATGGAAGCGCATTTAATCCCCACGCCGCAACGCGTGCATCTGCTGCCACGCTAATTTCCCCTCCTCTTGGTTATTGTTTCTTCCAGTCTTGTTCTATTATCAGCTGTTTGCTGTTCGTAATTTCTTTTCAGAGAAGCCAATACAGTATAATAAAAACCTCATTAAACAGAAACACCTATCAGCCTCAGAGAAAACCCTAAACTACCCCTTTTTTTGTTTAAAGAGCCATTAAAGTGGAAAAGAAAAACCACTTGTTTGTCATGCTTGGAAAAAAGAGAACAAAGCCAGGGGGCTAATATGAAGATTTAATGCACTTAAGACACTGTGGTTCTTTCGCCCTGTGCTGCCAGTTGGCCAAGAATCCCAACTTGAGCACAGCAAACAAGTGATCAGCAAGGCCAAGGCCCCAGCCCGCCGGCCGCAGCAGCCAACTGGGCGAGGAGAATCTGCGGCGGGATGTCCCAGGTGCTGAGACGGATGAAGGAAGCCCTCGGAGTCCCAGCTAACTTTTAGGATTCCTAGCCTCAGATGACGGGTTGAACCTGTGCTTATTTACCATCTGTCGGGAACAATTTCACTCCACCCCCACCCCCACCACACTCCCCGTACCATATCCAAGTTTCTGCTTCCAGCTAGATGGCTGCTAACTATCGCTCTCCCAAACCCACAGCCTCTTCCATGAGCAGCAACCCCTTTTTGGACAATCCCTGACTGGGTCGGGTACCCAGAAGAGAAGGGAAACACGGGCTTCCTGGTGCTTATTGACTAGTCTGTAGTGACCGATTTCACGTTTTTTGTTTTGTTCTGTTTTGTTTTTTAGGCATTTTTTTTCTCACCACGGTGAAACCCTGCATAGTTGGTTATTATAGATTAGTGAGTAAGCACAAGTCAGTTGGTGCTTACCTTGCTCATTGATGGGGTAATCCACCCTGGTTGACTGCAGAAGCAGCCGCTGTAGGATGGGGGAGGGGAGGGGTCTGTCAGCAAATATTTGGCATTGTAAGAACTCAGCAAGGCATGGGCTCTCTAAGAATTTCTGCTGACTTGACTCCTCTGGCCACAGCTCAATTTTAATTCAGGGCTACTTTGAGGTAATCCGTGCCTTATTTATAAGATTGGAGAAGCCGCTAACAGCACACAAGTCTGTCTTTGACGATGGTCAGGTGGAATCTCTGTAAAAGGATGTTGAAGTGGAAAAATCGGATTTCTCCTTTTCATATTCTCTGCTACCACCATTTCCCCAAGATTTATTTTGATCTGGAAATAATGATGAAGGAGGCTATTCCTCGAACGCTGATGTTTTATTCTTCGTTTCTGAGGTTGGTTTTTATGTACAATATGAGTACTGGAAGTAAAAATGAATTTTCTATCACAGATATTATTCTGCATATGGGAATCAATCAATGCAGCTCCTTAAACCGATTCTTTCCTTTGATGGTAACATTCCTCTCTGTGTGTGTGTGTGTGTGTGTGTGTGTGTGTGTTTGTTTTAAATAAAATTTATTGTATTAATTTGTCAAGGCAATTTATTGACACCAATTACATGAACCATTAGTAATATCCACTGGCAAG